AAAATTATCAACCATCCCCAAATTCCATTTTTTTTTTTGAAATACCAAGCAAAGAGGAGAGTCAAAGGGAACCACAGAAATAGTCTTAATATGCATCCATCAAACTTATATAAAACAAAGAATATTTTACGGGGCAAAGGTATACCGTATATTCCGGCGTATAAGATGACCCCCGTCTTCGGCGCCGAGTCGCATGCCTAGAAAGTCGTCTTATACGCCGGAAACTACTGTTATTTCCAGCGTATAACTCGGCGTATAAGACGACCCCTGACTTCGGCGCCGATTTTAAAACTTGCAAAAGTCGTCTTATACGCCGGAAAGTACGGTACATTCTGCATATTACTAAACATAAAACCAGATCTGATCTAGATTTGTTCCAAGGGCTGCATTTCAAGATCAAAGCATCTGATGCATGGGACTTAAATGGGATATTGTGTTCTCTCTCTTCCATTTAAACTCTCATCTAAAGGAGTCATCTAAATCAGCCTCCAGAGAGGGAAATGAAATCATGATGTCACCTTCAGAGTAGAATTATGTAATTTGCATCATGTGTGATGTCCATGGAGGTTCTCAGCCATCCAGGTCATGGCTGTCCCAAAGGTGCTTTCTCAAGAGGCAATGGGACTTTCTTTTTTCCTTCAAGACGTTTCACTTCGCATCCAGGAAGCTTCTTCAGTTCTGATTGAATGGTGAAGGATGGAAGGATGTATATTCCTTGGCAGTCATCTGGTCGTTAGTACTGCCTCTGAGAATCATTTAGGCCACTTGAAAGTTTACCTCAGGGTTCTTCAAACTTGGCCCTTTTATGACTTGTGGACTTCAACTGCCAGAATTCCTCAGCCAGGCAAGCTGGCTGAGGAATTCTGGCAGTTGAAGTCCACAAGTCATAAAAGGGCCAAGTTTGAAGACCCCTGGTTTATCTCTTCCCTCAAGGTCACATGACCTTGACTCCCTTAGGGTCATCTAACTAGCTCCATGCCCATTTCCACTCTGATTCAGATGACCTTGAGGGCACAGATAAACCTCCAACTAGCTTCAACAGCTCTCAGAGAGAGTGCTAACGGCCAGATGACTGCCAAGGAATATTCATCTTTCCATCGTCTACCATTCAGTCAAAACTGAAGAAGCTTCTTGGATGGGAAATAAAACATCTTTAAGGAAAAACGAAGACCAGTTGCCTTTTGGCGCAATCATGTGTGATGCTATCCTGATGGCCATGACCTCACTGTGATTTCTAGCAGATTTTCCTAAGTTGATGTACTACAGAGATCTCCATGGATGGACTTTCCAGGCTACTTGGGAGACAGGAAAGTCATATTCTGATGGCCACCAGGTTGGAAAGCTGCTGCGCACAAAATGTAAATATTTAAAAATATTGAATGCTCTTCTCTTAACATCTTCTTCAAGACAGACTATTTCCTGTTATTCCTTTTAGTTTGGAAAGCTTCTGGCTGGACTACCATCATCAGAATCCTGAAATGCATTTCCTGCAACTCAAACCCTGCTCAAACTTTTTCCTATTCCCCCCCCCCCCAGAAAGTGATTTCACATTCAACCCTATTCACCCCAAGCATGCCTCACTGTAATTAAAGCATTATGTGTCTTCCATTTCCTGTTCCTTAACTACACCAAGCAGTCTTTCTCTTTCTTTCTTTCTTTCTTTCTTTCTTTCTTTCTTTCTTTCTTTCTTTCTTTCTTTCTTTCTTTCTTTCTTTCTTTCTTTCTTTCTTTCTTTCTTTCTTCTTTCATCTATCCCTTTATCTATCATCTTCCTTAACTACACCAAGCAATCTTTCTTTCTTTCTTTCTTTCTTTCTTTCTTTCTTTCTTTCTTTCTTTCTTTCTTTCTCTTTCATCCTTTCTTTCTCTTTCTTCCTTCCTTCTTTCATCTATCCTTTTATCTCTCTATCATCTATCATCTTCCTTAACTACACCAAGCAGTCTTTCTTTCTTTCTTTCTTTCTTTCTTTCTTTCTTTCTTTCTTTCTTTCTTTCTTTCTTTCTTTTTCCATCCTTCCTCTTGTAGCAGTCAGTGTGATAAAATAAATAAGAGAACATCAACTCATTTGGGATATATAGTTCCCCTAGTCCAGTGTTTCCCAAACTTGACAATTTTAAGGCATGAGGACTTCAACTCCCAGAATTCCACAGCCAGCGTTGGTCCACATGCCTTAAAATTGTCAAGTTTGGGAAACACTGCCCTAGTCTGTAGGTCTTGATTAATAAACATTATGTCTGTGTTTAGTATTATCATCATTTTATATTATTTATATTATTATCTCCTCTGTAGTGTTCTTCATCTTGTCCCAAAAACTGTTCACAAAACAGACACACCCCGAGTAAATTCAAAAATGTGTTTTGCAAAATAAAGAACACAATGAACTACACAACTGTTTTACGATATAACAATAGCCCAGCAACCAAAGCAGGAAATTTGTTTGTCACAGCTGCACCAATTGTATATTCTTTTCCTCCCTTAGATCCAATGTACAGAGAGAAAGTGACAATTCAATTGTTGGTCTTCCCTGCATTTCACAGGTTTTGGCCAAAATTAAGAAAGGGTTGTATGTGTCAAGAATATATTCTTTAAGGAGAATCTCAGCCACAAGCCAAAAGTACATTTAAGTCATTTCTTGGCCAAATCCAGGAATATTTGCAGAGAGAGGTTAAAAAAAAAAATCAAAATGGCGGCCACAACTTTGGAATTGAAGCTCTTTCCTTCTTTAATGTAAAAAGGGGCGGGGCTTCAATGGCATGGCTGTAACTGCCATCTTGGTGGGTTTTTTTTAAAACACTCTTGGCTAGGGGTAGGCAATCTTGGCTCTTTTATGACTCGTGGACTTCAACTCCCAGAATTCCTGAGCCAGCATTCTGGGAGTTGAAGTCCATGAGTCATAAAAGAGCCAAGGTTGCCTACCCCTGCTCTTGGCCAAAACTCAGAACTTGGGCAGGAAGAGGACCATAATAATAATGACCACAATAATTTGAATATGCATATCACCCACGCTCAACAGTGATTTACAGAAACAAGTAATAATAAAACACTGAATGTCATCATAAACCCTAAAATAGTCACAGTAAGAGCAAACAATTAAACATTTAAATGAAGCATTAAAACTGTAGCCAAAAAAATATATCAACCAAGACAATTAATTAGTATACAAGTTTCCCCCTACTCACATAATAGATCAGTTTCTCTAATCGTCATCTTCACACAGACTTCTTAAAATAGAGATACCCCACGTGTGCTATCTGTACTTAGTAATTTGGGTTCTCTATGGTTTGGGAATGTAGTCAGAAGTTGCAAGAGGAAGGGTTTCTTTAGGGCAAGACAGATCCAAAGAACCAAGAACGACCTGTGGAATTACTTCTGAATGGTTCCTTTATTATAGTTCATTGCCTATAATGCACAGCCAACGCACAGCTCATCACAATCCCATAGGCCAGGGGTAGGCAACCTTGGCTCTTTTATGACTCGTGGACTTCAACTCCCAGAATTCCTGAGCCAGCCACACTGAGGGGCAAGGGAGAGTTTCCAAGCTGAGCCATGCTGGCTCAGGAATTCTGGGAGTTGAAGTCCATGGGTCATAAAAGAGCCAAGGTTGCCTACCCCTGCCATAGGCCAAGCATGGAAAACAGCTATTTACTTAACATTTACCCAGTTCAACCCCAAGAACGCCTCGAGAAAGGCACGGTTCAAGGTCCCACCTGACCATTAGTGACCCCTCAGTCAGTTTTGACCTGCTTCGCTTTGCCTGGTCAAAACTGAACAGAATTAGGTGTGATACTGGAAGAGGTGCCTCTGCCCTATATCAGTGGGGATGGAAAGAGTCCCCTTGTTGCGACTGTGGTGCTGAAATGCAAAGTATTAAACGTATTGTGCACTGTTGCCCATCATGTGTGTTCTCTGGTTCCCTAGAACATCTGCACGAAGCAACACCCAGAGGTGATCCGGAGAGCAGGATTGGACATCCAGTTATGAGGCCATGCCCTCTTAGAAGTGTTATATATCATTACGTGGATTGCATGTACATTCTTACTTCTCTCCTGCCATGTTATTATACGCTAAATGATAATAATATTGCCTATAAGCAGACTCTTGCCAGACTAAAGCAATTACCTGCAATAATTACAGATATATCCTGTGAACTGCTTAGGAGGACCAACCTTGCTCTCTTTCCTGCCTATCAGACATTCCAAGCTCCACTTCCTCTTTGTTCTCTGGGAAGGAGCCCCTCCCTCCTGAGACCCCAGACCACATTCCAGCACAAATACCAAGATATCAATCGGGTTTTTCTGCAGACACTTCATGCTGAGTCCCAGCAAAACTTCCACCAGTGCAATGGCTTCAGAAATGGGGGTTGCCTTCCGGGGTTCAAGTCTGTGTCAGATCTGAACATTCAGAGGGAAAAAACTTTTCAATCTTGCTATCACCCCTTGGGTTTGATGCACTATATTTTACACCTACTCAGTTACAAAATTTCAGACACAAGAAGAGTAATGGATGTCTGAGAGCAGAGTAGGGGGGAGGAATAGGAACAATGAAGATGGTGATCAAGACTTTGCAAAGTCCTGGTCTCCTTTTGCAGGTGTCCGTTGAACTTGGGTCAAGGGGTGGGATTCCAGCTGGCGTATTAGACAGCTCCCCTTCCATCTATAATCCTGGAATCTCTTATGTAGGGGTCTTCAAACTTGGCCCTTTTATGACTTGTGGACTTCAACTCCCAGAATTCCTCAGCCAGCGTGTGCCTGGCTGAGGAATTCTGGGAGTTGAAGTCCACAAGTCATAAAAGGGCCAGGTTTGAAGACCCCTGCTCTTATGGATAGTGAGCTTGGCTGCATAAAAATGTAATAAATAAACAAACAGGATCAAATGCAGTAAGCGGATGACTAATAGACAGTTCATTAATTAAATTAAAGAGCTCTTCCACCGTGCTGCACCGAGAGAAGCCACTGTAGCATCCTGGCAAGGCCCCAGAAATAAAGAGGTGCTTAATTACCTGCACGAGAAGTTCCAACTTCCTGTCATCAAGGAGGTGCACTTGACACCGGCGGCCCTCTGTCATCTAGGAAAGAGAGAGAGAGAGAAAAAACCCAGGAGATGAAAAAAAAAAAATGAGTTTTAACAGATGCTGAAGTCACAAGCTTGGCAAATATTGCTGTCAACACACTGAAGCCTCAGCTGTTTCAGAGGCTGTGTGGGAGCAAATGGTTCCCCCCCCCAAGCCCTGGTGAAGCTTTCTCTGGAACCAGAAGAGAAAGATGGAAATAAATAAGTGACTTGCCCCCTGCCAGTTGTTGGTGCCTGGCACATGTTGCCTCTGCTTTGACTCTGCCCTAAGCGGGGGACGGTGCCAGGCTAAGAGCAGAGTTCATGGAAAAGGCTGAGGGCATCCACCTTACATGACTCCCACTGTCTTTGCTACTGAAGAGGGAAACAGGGAGGAATTTGGGATGGCTTCCAACGACACAGCCTAAATGTACACAGAACAATCCAGAAGAAGCCGGCACTAATGGAGGACCTTTCCAGGCTTCGGCCTACTCTTCTGTTCCCAGGTTCTTCTCATCTTTGCCTGTTTACCGTTGTTCTGGATCCTCCTTCTTTCCATTCCCACCCTCAGGATCAGAGGATAAACAGAGGAAAATACAAGTAGTCCTCAACATACGGCCACAATTGAGCCCAAAATTTCTGCTGCTAAGTGAGACATTTGTTAAGGGAGCTTTGCCCCATTTTATGACGTTTCTTGCCACAGTTGTTAAGTGGATCACTGCAATTGATAAGTTAGCAACCCGGTTGTTAAGTGAACCTGGCTTCCCCCCTTGACTTTGCTTGTCAGAAGGTCGCAAAAGGGGATCACATGACTCCGGGACGCTGCAACCGTCATAAATATGAGTCAGTTGCGAAGTGGCTGAATTTTGATCATGTGATGCTGCAACGGTCATAAGTCACCTTTTTCAGTGCCGTTGTAACTCCAAACGGTCACTAAACCAACTGTTGTAAGTCTAGGACTACCTGTATTGGCCAGGGTGGAGTGGATGGTGTCAGGAAGGAGTAGTGAAGAATCCACATTTGGAGCTCATTATTTGGAGAGCGTAGCAGGGGTCTGGGTAAGATCTGAACTCTGATCTGATGGACCCAGACCTCCGTCATTCGTGGGCCACAACAGCCACACTTCACACATTAGCTCAGAGGTAGGCAACCTTAGCTCTTTTATGACTGGTGGACTTCAACTCCCAGAATTCCTAAGCCAGCATGGCTCAGCCTGGAAACCTTTTCCTTTCCCCTCAGCATGGCTGGCTCAGGAATTCTGGGAGTTGAAGTCCACGAGTCATAAAAGAGCCAAGGTTGCCTACCGTTGCACTAGCTGAAGGACTGCATTAATAGAAAACCCTCCAACGAGTAAACGAAAATGAAGAAAAAAAGGAAAGGTATTGTGGTGTGCTATTAAACACAACTTCATTAAATGTGAAAAGAGCTGCGAAGCAACGCTTTGCTTTGGCCCTTTGGCTGGCATGGTTTTTCATTACCCAGAGTATCAACACTGGGTTTGATGATTATCTAACCAGAGCTACATTGCTGCCTAAAAATAGCTAATACATTTTCAAGATTCGTGTCTACAAAACAGGCTTCAAAACGTGCCAAGGACAATGAACATACAGTATGCCAGGAATCTCCAACCTTTGAAACTTTATGACTTGTGGACTTCAACTCCCAGAATTCCTCAGCCAGCATGGCTGGCTGAGGAACTCTGGGAGTTGAAGTCCACAAGTCGTAAAGTTGGTAAGATTGGAGATTCCTGCAGTAAGTCATTTGCTTTATGAAATGCCCATTCTGGATGCCTTCGGTAGCCCACTTACTGTTTCGTCTTTGCATTAAAGATTCACAGGAAGTATATTAGTACCGCTTTATAAATCCTTATAAGGCCACACCTGGAATACCGTATCCAGTTTTGGTCACCACATTACAAAAAAGATGTTGAGACTTTGGAAAAAGTGCAAAGAAGAGCAACTGAGATGATTAAAGGCCTGGGGACAAAAATATATGAAGAATGATTGCAGGAATTGGGTTTGGCTAGTCTAGAGAAAAGAAGGACTAGTGGGGACATGATAGCAATATTCCAGTATTTGAGAGGCTGCCACAAAGAAGAGGGGGCCAACCTATTCTCCAAAAAGCCTGAAGGCAGGACAAGAAACAATGGTTGGAAACTGACCAAAGAGAGAAGCAACCTGGAATTAAGGAGAAACTTCCTGACAGTGAGGACAATCAACCAGTGGAACAATTTGCCTTCAGAGGTTGTGGGTGCTTCATCACTGGAGATTTTTAAGAAGAGATTGTACAGCCACTTATCTCAAATTGTATAAGGTCTCTTCTTGTCCAGGGGTTGGACTAGATGACCTCTGAGATCCCTTCCAACTCTATTCTGATCTATTTATTTTTCCAGGCAACTGATTTCATCACCTTCCCTTTGTCCCACTCAATGAATATATCACGTGACATGACTGATTTTCCTGCCTCTTTCAACAATTTTGGAGACCAGGCTATAATTTTTAATCATTTCACCTTCGCCGTTTTTTGCAATGTGATTAGCATTTCCTGTTCTTTTCACTCCAAAGAGGATGGCAGAGAAGCCATTATTAGTTTTCTTCTGCCTTCAGAAACAGAGCAAATGCTGAATTCCTGGCTTATCCACAAGAAATGCCAGATACAGTATCTTTCTACTTAGACCAGGGGTGGGCAACCTTGGCTTTTTTATGACTTGTGGACTTCAACTCCCAGAATTCCTGAGCCAGCATGGCTTAGCTTGGAAACCTCTCCCTTTCCCCTCAGCATGGCTGGCTCAGGAATTCTGGGAGTTGAAGTCCACGAGTCATAAAAGAGCCAAGGTGGCCTACCCCTGATCTAGGCCTAGACCATTTTCTGACTCGTAAACTTCAACTCCCAGAATTCCTGAGCCAGCATGGCTCAGCTTGGAAACCTCTCCCTTTCCCCTCAGCATGGCTGGCTCAGGAATTCTGGGAGCTGAAGTCCACCAGTCATAAAAGAGCCGAGGTTGCCTACCCCTGACTTAAGACTGTCCCACAGGTGCTTTTTTCTCCAAAAGGCAATTGGGACTTTTTTTTCCCTTGAAGATTTTTCCCTTCTCATCCAAGAAGCTTCTTCATTTCTGGCTGAATGGTGAAAGATGATGGAGTTCAATCAAAACTGAAGAGGCTTCTTAGATGAGAAGTGAAAGTCTTCAAGGGAAAACAAAGTCCAGTTGCCTTTTGGAAAAAAAAACAACACCTATGGGTCAAACATGTCCTGGATGACTGAGAATCTCCAGAGACATTTCTACTCAGACTGCAAAACACAACTGTTATGTCTAATCACAATGTTTCCTTCCACAGCCATAGTTGCAATGACCCCATATTTCCTTATCTCATTCAGGCTTCAGCACCTGATAATTCCAAAATGTGCTAACCCAAATTAAAAGTATTTTTTTTTTTTTTTTTACTGCTGGCTTCCAAGTTTCTCAACTCGAGAAAGTTGGTTAGATTCAGGAAAACCAAATCTACTGTTCTAATGATAACAGGATATTATTGGTAATTAAAATTACTTTTGCCCAGGGGGCAGGAGAGGGAGAGCCACAATATTCAATATAAGGCCCTTGAAAGGTCTCTATTAAAATAATGGCACGAACGCAAGAGATATCACATAGCAAGACTTTTTTAAAAAGCTCTGTTAAAAAGAAGAGAAGGAGGTTTTATATCCTGATTATAACTGCGTGAAGTTATCCCTGCTAATGTTTTGCAATTTTACTTGCTTAAAAGGTCAGTGACAGAGAATCACAGCAGATGGGAATGTCTATTTCAGGGGTCTTCAAACTTTGCCCTTTTATGACTTGTGGACTTCAGTTCCCAGAATTCCTCAGTCAGGCATGCTGGCTGAGGAATTCTGGGAGTTGAAGTCTACAAGTCATAAAAGGGCCAAGTTTGAAGACCCCTGGTCTATTTCAAATGCTAAGCTGAGCTAGATCTGGTTAGTACTTGGAGGAGAGACCAAGAGAAAATTTGAGAATTGTAGCTGCAAAAATGACAAAAAAAATTTCCATTCCTTCAGAAAGTAATGACATCACTTCCATACCTCTGCTAAGAAACTCCATGGATGTTTCTTTACGGGAATGTAGTTAGATTCAAGGGAAATTTTATTGTAGTCATATCCACATCCTGGTTTTCTTTTAAAGTATCAAAAAAAGCATACACAGGTGTCTCCTTCCCCCCCTCACAATAACAATCATAATGAAACTTTGGGAGATTGGCCCAAGGTCAGTCTTCAAACTTGGCCCTTTTATGACTTGTGGACATCCACTCCCAGAATTCCTCAGCCAGCATGCCTGGCTGAAGAATTCTGGGAGCTGAAGTCCACAAGTCTTAAAGTGGCCAAGTTTGAGGACCCCTGAACTAAGCTAATGAAGAACCATCATTTCTCAGGCTAGAGAGAATCGTTATGTCAACCTAGATCAGAGGTCTTCAAACTTGGCCCTTTTATGCTGGCTGAGGAATTCTGGGAGTTGAAGTTCATAAGTCATAAAAGGGCCAAATTTGAAGACCCCTGGTATACAGGTTCTAATACAGTCCACATCTAGGTTATTTTAAGATCTGCCTGTCTTAAAACTTTCAAGGAGGCATATCTTGCAGGTCTCAACAAAATCAACACTAAGCAAGGAGAGAAGCAACCTAGAACTAAGGAGAAATTTCCTGACAGTTAGAACAATTAACCAATGGAACAACCTGCCTCCAGAAGCGGTGAATGCTCCAACACTGGAAGTTTTTAAGAAGAGACTGGACAGCCATCTGTCCGAAATGGTGTAGGGTTTCCTGCTTGAGCAGGGGGTTGGGCTCGATGACCTCCAAGGTCCCTTCCAACTTTATTATTATTATATTATTATAACACGCTGCAACTCACATATTTTGTCTATTGGCACAAGGAAGCTATTTTTCTTTTTAGCTACTTGTAACCTCAGTATAAAGCTCTAAAATCCCATTTACAAATGGCTGCCCTGTATCTTAACTAAGGGCCGTACCA